CTGCTTCCCGAGACGAGACTATGCCTTTGACATAGCTTTGTCTGGGGATCCTCTCTGCCCGAAGGCACTGTAGACCAACATACAGTATTAACTACTGTATTTAGATGAATGGGTACATACCTATTATCGTTCTTATGTGTGCTACAACAGTTATTTATTATTGAGTGAGAGAGTGTGCACCCAAAATGTGACGTTGTGGTAAAAGTATAAGTCGCCAAATCTACCTCATCATGACAACCAAATTAATAAAGAGTTTACCAGACACATCCATCGCAGCCAAATGGGCGGTGAAGGATTTTTCATGAAAGAAATCACATAAACCTGGATGTGGGCTCAGATAGAAATACCTTCAAGTTTCGATCGACGGTGTTTTCAAATCAAATCTTTCAATCTTAAAAAACAACACATTCGACAGTTCTTCTTTCCAGAATTTATCTTACATATCTATAAGTCTACCATTCGTCCATGAGTATTGCTGCCACATATGGTCCGGTTCTCCTGCTATGTATCCACAGATCTTTGATAAAATTAAAAAAATCAGCAATAGTATTGGCCCTGGCGTCTCGGCTTCAGTCACTTTCCCATTGCTGTAAGATTGCCTCCCATGACTTTTCTATAAAGACTTTCATGGTAATTGTTCGGATGAGTTCTTCGCTATTTTATTTGTTTTTTTTTTAAACAGTTTTGTTTTCTTATTGTCAATACTTCTTGGGGATAGTTTTTAAATTGTTGTTTTATTTGACAATAAATTTTACATATTTTACTAGTTAGGACTTTCATAGAGACAATGAGGTATTATGGTGAATGTAGTATGAAAGGTAAGTAAGAATGCGTTGTTTGGTGTCAGTGTTTGTGGCTAGCTAAGTTTAAAGTTAAGACAGATGAAGACCGTCCTTTCCCCCATTCCCCATTTTGGCCTTGAGCCACATTTTGTAAATAAATACAAATAAATATCGTTCTTCGCTTTAGTGTCTTGACACTTAAGTTCTCGAATTTAAGCCTCGTGCTAGACTAAGGTCAAGATTTCGACAATTTACAATTGAGCTGGCTAGATGTAACCGTAAATTCTATGTTAACAGTTTCTTTTCTCGCACTTCTCACTTGTGGAACTCCCTTTAGGTTCGAAGCTTTCCAATCTAACTTTTCCAATCTGCAAAACTTTAAATGCGATGTCAATCGCTATCTTCCTACTTACTCTTCGTCTTTTCTTGCTCTTTAGCAATGTTCCTGTTTTGAAGTTTCCCACACCTTTGCAACTCTGTGGCTTTACTGCCTTGCATGGGGTGAATTCGATTAGGAAAAAAAAATGCAGAAAGCGTCGGTTAGCATTCTACATTGAGAGAAAAGCTAAAAATGAGGAACGCCTAGATTTAAATTTTAAAACGCTGGCGTCCAGTCTGTCTGGACCAGCGTTTCCCAACCTGTGCGATATCGCTCACTAGTGGGAGATTTCAACTTTTGTGTGGGCGATGTAAGATTATGAGTAATAAAAAGATATTTCAACATATGTTACCCGAAAAAAAAAAGTTGGCCTTCTTGTGTTGTTTATTACGGTAGTAGCAGCAGCAGCCGTCGTATAAGTCGGTGTTATTTGTTACCTCCCTTTGCTATTTTTTACTACACCATAAAGTTTATGAATCATTAACAAACTTTTACCAAACAATTTTAGTATGCTTTTGGAAATTTAATATACAAGTGGACGGTGGGAAAAGTTTCCATGTGAAAGTGGGCGATGACGCAAAAAATGTTGGAAACCCCTCGTCTAGATGCAGAACTTTGTCGACTCATTCAGCTTCCTGTCGCATTTCATTGTAAATATCCGACATTATATCAGCAGGAGTTTTGTTACGAAAGATGCTGTTTATTTTCTTGGACAGATATCTACAATAGAAGACTCACAGAGATCGGTACATTTTATACATTTTTAGCTTAATAAATTACTTCCGCTTTTAATTAAAACTGTATTTTTAAAAATTGCATCTTGATCCAATTTATTACGACGAACTACTAATGCATTGTATTTATTTATTTATTTTTATTTTGTGTTCATGTAGTCTTTTTCTTCGTATAGACTTTTGCTTTTATTAGTCTTTTGTATTCTATAGTCTTTTGTAGTCGTATAGATTTTGGTTTAAATTCCGGTGGATCTCTTGGGCAAATTTTTCGGTCTATTCTGTAAAATCCCCCTTCAGGTTTTAGACTGTTATTGTTTTGTAGTGTTTAAAGCTACCCTTCTTATAGCTGTAGTTGTAACAAATTTGGTATTAAAATGTAGATAAGTTCTTATCAGTTGTATTTGTTACTGAGGTGACCAGTTGTGTTATGTCAAGTTTAATCAAGATTATTTATATTGCTGACTAATTTAAAAGCCGCCCTATCAGGCAGCATTTAAGCTAACTCTTGCGGAAGGTTCTTAATTGGACCTTCATCGCAATAGGTATGAAGGGGTACATGCGATAGACAACAATGAACTACAGAACTTAAAATTTATCGCTTTATTGCATTAATATTTAAGCTTACCTTTTAAAAGTTCAACGATAAGTTTTCTGCCCCCACTTAATTTAAAGACAGTTTGATGTACGTTCGTCTTTACTTTCCGTTCAAACAATTATTTTTATTTCATGGCTGACTTTCGTTGGATTTCGCGGTTAATTTCGATTATTTCCGATTTCCAAGTTATAAAAATTGTTATCGTACAAAAAAAAAAAAAAAAAAAAAATTGTCGCAAAAATCACGTAAAAAATCGCCGAAAACAAATTCAGTAATGAAAACATGAACATCCAATTTTTCATTATGGCCGGAATGATTTTTATTTGCTCACGTAGTCGGCCTGATTCCAAAATGGTATGATATGTTGCGCTGCGGCCTCAAGGAGTAAAGTTGAAAAAGTGTGACACAAGTAATACACTGTCATTCGCATTCATTATACAGAAGTTTTAATTCTATGAATCCGATGAGTTTTACTATGGGCATCATGTGTGAAATAATGTCGATATTTGAGGAGAACATTATCAGTTAAATTATTTGAATATGGGTGTAGGGCATTATTTATGAAATAATGAGGATACTGGACGTGGACATTATCTATAAAACAACGAGACTATTAGGGTGGGAATTATCTAGAAAACAATGAGAATTTGAGAGATCATTGTCTATGAAACACTGAGAATGTGGGAGGGGGCATTATCTCTAAAATGATGAGAATACTAGGGGAGGAAATTATCTACGAAGCAATGAAAATATTAGGGGAGAGCATTATTTATGAAATAATGATAATATTATGGAATTTCATTATCTATGAAACAATGACAATATGAAATAATGAGGAAATGAGTATAGAGCAGCGTCTATGAAATTATTTGGATATGAAATAATGACGATAGATTATTTAGATATGTAATAATCACGATAGGTTATTTGGATATGAAATAATCACGATAAATTATTTGGGTATGAAATAATCACGGTAAATTATTTGGATATGAAATAATGATGATAGATTATTTAGATATGTAATAATCACGATAAATTATTTGGATATGAAATAATCACGATAAATTATTTGGGTATGAAATAATCACGATAAATTATTTGGATATGAAATAATCACGATAAATTATTTGGGTATGAAATAATCACGATAAATTATTTGGGTATGAAATAATCACGATAAATTATTTGGATATGAAATAATCACGATAAATTATTTCGATGTGTAATAATCACGATAAATTATTTGGATATGAAATAATGATGATAGATTATTTAGATATGTAATAATCACGATAAATTATTTGGATATGAAATAATCACGATAAATTATTTGAATATGAAATAATCACGATAAATTATTTGGATATGAAATAATCACGATAAATTATTTGGGTATGAAATAATCACGATAAATTATTTGGGTATGAAATAATCACGATAAATTATTTGGATATGAAATAATCACGATAAATTATTTGGATATGAAATAATCTCGATAAATTATTTGAATATGATATAATGATGATAGATTATTTAGATATGTAATAATCACGATAAATTATTTGGATATGAAATAATCACGATAAATTATTTGGGTATGAAATAATCACGATAAATTATTTGGGTATGAAATAATCACGATAGGTTATTTGGATATGAAATATTGACAACAAATTATTTGGGTATGAAATAATGACAATAGATTATTTGGATATGAAATAGTGACGATATTTGAGCAGGCATTATTTATGTATTAATATCGATATTAGAAGGGTTAAAATTATTTTCAATGCGTTTTCTCTTCAGCATGATGTTTAATTTTGTGACCCTCTCTATTTTCGGAATCAAAGAAATATTTACGCGTTTAATTTGCTGGATAATCTACATAAATTTTATGAATTATAGCAGACTTAGCTGACATCTTAACATCATTTAGAATTCTCTATGGAGCCTCCATTTCACCACCTCTAATCCTAACCAAATATATCACCTCACGACCCGCCACCTTCAGGTTTCAAAATTTGAGAGTGGATTATGTTAGCAATCACCCAGCCTCGGTTCAGTCTGGTCCATTAGGGATAGCACGGCATTCATCGGTGGGGAAACAGTTGAAAAAGTTGTCTCCATGTACTTTGATTCTTAATTCGTTTAATGTTTTTTAAAGGCTGCTGTATAGTCGCTGTAATTTAATAATGACAACGATATTGATTTTCTAAGCGTAGGTTAGATGTGGCACGGGTCCGGAAGTATGGAGTACCCAACGAAGATCGAACTTACGATACAGTCGTTGCTGTTTTAGAGAGACAAGCTTGCTAAAACTTTACATCACACCGAGGTGCCCAAATGCCAACGATAATATAAACATTTTTCTTATAAGGAAACATTCTGAATTCATTGACCGAGCAGCCAGTGTTTATTTAAGTTAAAATTTATAAAATCTTTCTCTCGAAACGATTTTTCAGGAAAATAGTTTTCTCGGGTCCACTAAATGTTATCACTCTTTCCAGTATTGATTATCTATCTATCTATCTATCTATCTATCTATCTATCTATCTATCTATCTATCTATCGCAGTCTGTGCTTTCTTTCTTTCAGTCTGTGCTTTCTTTCTTTCTTTCTTTATTTGTTTCTCTCTCTCTCTCTCTCTCTCTACACACACACACACACATATATATAAATATGTAGAGTATATAAATATATTATAAATATATAAATTAAATATGTGTGTATATACATACATATATATATATATCTTCTCAGTCTGTTTAAATTGATATCTAATTCTGTTCTTTCTTTCTCTATCTCTTTACACACACACACACACACACACACACATATATATATATATATATATATATAGCTCTCAGTCTGTTCAAATTGACATTTATCTATCTATCGTAGTCTGATCTTACTATCTCTCTCTCTTCATATATATATGCGTGTGTCTGTATGTAAAACTCTCCACTTTCACCTGAAGACGGTTGTGAGACCAGACCAGAAACACGTGTCGTGAAATTATGTAAAACAAAGTATAATATTTTTTCTCAATAAATCCTCATTACAACCAAAAAAACGTTTGCGGCACCCCTTCTTTTTTTTATATATATATATATATATATATATATATATATATATATATATATATATATATATCTTTACAGTCTGTTCAAATTGACACCCATCTATCCTGTTCTTTCTTTCTTTCTCCCTCTCTCTCTCACTCTCTCTCTCTCTCTCTCTATATATATATATATATATATATATATATATGTTTATGTGTGTGTGTGTGTCTATGTGTGTCTGTGTGTATGTGTGTGCGTCTGTGTACAGCTTCTCAGTCTTTTCAAATGGACATCTATCTACTTATAACCTTTATTCGAAGTAGTGGGTAATGCCAACATCTTGTTTATGTCATTATTATCTCTACGAGACACATGTGTTATTCATTTTTGTTGTTTCTGCTGTTGAAAGTCCTCAAGTGAGTACTATTCGGTACAGTTCTTTGTGATTCTGTAGCGCCTGTCCACGGTGTTGGATGGTTTACGCTAAGACCTACAAACTTCAGCTGTACGAAGTCGTTTTTAACCATTGAACTGAGAATGCGGTCTGCGTACATCCGGTAGTTTAGATATTTCTGAACGAGTTTGGAATCATGCCTGACATTCATGAAAGTCTCTATCTGACAAGGATATTTAAGAACATTTGAATTCTTATGTTAATGGTTTCCACTGTCACAACGACTAACAATTTAATATCTTGATAAATACTTTTTTTTTTTTTTAAATATCCTATCTTAATATGGACACTTCGGTGAGATAAACTCCTCACCTTGCCCTTATCAGTCCTGCATCAATGTCTTCCAGGACCTTCAGAAAACATTTTTACATGTCGATGCTACTTACGTATTGCACCTTCTAGACTTTTATTTTTAATTGCAACCTCTAGTGTTATGAAATATCTTATCTGTCAAATCAGTCTCCCAGCCGATTTTAAAGCTCGCAACATGGCTACTAATGTGAGACTTCCAAATTCAACAGATTTCATACATATGGTTGCCGTTTATTTACAACATCGAAAAACGAGATGGCTTCATTCCAATTTCGTTGAGAGATCCTGCCATTATTCAAGGAACAAACCTTGAGATTCCAACAATTATTTGTTTTTATATATCGATAAAAACAATAAGCGAACCAGTGTACACGCATGCGCGTGCATATATCTAAAAGCCTAGTAGAGAAAAAAATCAAATCCAATATTGCCTGCGAATTCGACTGCCTACGTGAAGAATGTTTCTTTAATCAAACAAAATATATATTCGTTACACAACCACTACATTATCGGGTCGGTTATCACATTCAATTAAATCGCATATCATCAAACTGCAAAATAACAAAACACAAGTGAAGATATATATTGATAGCATAAAAATGATGCAAATGTGATGTTAAATACTAAAAGCACTAAGCGTAAGAACCAACTAACCAACATCAATATAATAAAATTTAGGAATAAAAATATTAACTATATTAATTATATTTCATGAATAGAAAAACAACAAGACGATAACACAGACTGTCATGTGAAGTTTAGTTGGATTGAAACAATGCAGCTATTACTAAGAAGAGTTGAAATGAATGCATTCAAGATTTCATGGCTCTAGTATCACGCCTTCATATTCAGCCTACGAACTTTTCAGCCCACCCTCATACCTGGAAAGAAACAATACGGTTATTAATAAGAAGAGTTGAAATTAATGCATTCAAGATTTCACAGCTTTAGTATAACGCCTTGATATTCAGTCTACGAATCTTTCAGCCCACCCTCCATATCTGGAAAAAAAAGCAATGTAGTTATCAGGTCATCCCAAAAGTTCTGTCTGAATTTTAACTTTTTGTTAAAATGAAAGAAATTTAAAGAGTATTATATAATGTCTAATGGAGCTGAAAATGGATGCCTCGTGAATTCTCTGAAAACAACCTCAAATCCCGAGTTGACATCTGCTCTTCTCTCCATTCTCGCCAACTTGTTTCGACTTGTAACTGGCGACGAAAAATGGATCTTTTATCGAAATGTTAAGCGTCGTAGACAGTGGCTTGGTAAAGGGGAAGGAGCCCAGCCACAGCCGAGAAGGGAACTTCATGGGCAAAAGGTTCTTCTTTCAATCTGGTGGGATCGCCAAGGAATAATCCACTTTGAATTCTTACCACCTAATACAACAATTAATGCTCAAATATACTGTCAGTTTGAACCAAGCTTTGAGGAAAAAAAGACCTGCTCTAGTGAATCGAAAAGAAGTGATGTTTCATCAGAACAATGCGCGACCCCACACAGCAAGAATCACGTCACAAAAGATCGAAGAATTTGGTTGGGAGAAAATTCCTCATCCACCTTATTCTCCCGATCTTGTTCCTTCAGACTACAAATTGTTTTGTAGCTTACAGAATCATTTGGAAGAAACAGCTTTTATAACACAGGAAGAGGTTAAAACTGATATTTGTGAGTTCTTCGAATCAAAGCCAAAAGAATTTTACAGTAATGGAATTAGTAAGCTTGTTAATAGATGGAAGGAAGTCATAGATAATCAGGGAAAATACATTGTTGATTGAATCTGTAATTAAATGTAACATTTAGTCACTTGTTTTCTTTATTCAAAATTCGGACAAAATTATGGGATGACCTGATATTAATAAGAAGAGTTGAAATTAATGCATTCAATATTTCACAGCTCTAGTATAACGCCTTTATAGACAGGCTATGAATTTTTCAGTCCACCCTCATATCTCCGCCTGCTCTTTAACCCCCCCCCTCTCTCTATATATATATATGTATGTATGTGTGTGTGTGAGTGTATTTATGAATTTTAAAACGATGGAACTCATTCTTTTAAAGGAATCAACACATCTTCAGAAAGATTCGTTGGAATAACAATGATGAAAACGGTAAAACTGAAAAGTGCCTAAAATAAGACATGAATAAGTTTATTAATATGAAAACCAATCAGTGTAAATAAATTCCTAATGAGTATAAATTTGAAGAAAAAATGTCTTCCGATCCACCTATGAGATTCAGAGAACGAAGAAAGTTCTCCTTCTGCCGGTCGATGAAGCTTGATGTAAACACCTTCTATAAAACCGTAAATGCCCTGTGCAGGATCCTGAACGCCCGTCAACATATTCGGAAGGGCAACCCGTGTTGTTAATCAAATGAAGTTTTTGCCTTTTTCAGTTTCGCCATTTTGATTATTGTTGTTCAAACGAATCTTTCTGAAGAAATGTTGGTCGAAAAATGTTGTTTTAAAAGGATGCGTTCTCTGATTTTCAAAATTATATATAAATTCTATGCTACAACATTTTTGTTTAAATATACATATTTTAAGACATTTTTATGTTTATACAATATTTTATAGATACAAATATTTAAGTAAATGCTCTGTTTATAATAAACAACATTGCCATAGAAAATATGCGTCCTTCGACAGGAATCGAACCTGTATCCGGAACCGTCGTATAGCCTGACGTGCTTTTACCTATTTCGCCACATTTCTATAGCAATTTCTCGGGCATTCAGGCCGGTAAATGTTGTTAATACTGTTTATTATTAACAGAGCGTTTACTTAAATATTTGTATCTATAAAAAGAATGTATAAACATAAAATGTCTTAAATTTGAACTTTGTCGAAATATATATATATATATATATATATATATATTTCATATATATATATATATATATATATATATATATATATATATATATCCCTTACCAGTAGCAGTCTTTAGGTGCTGGTAGAGAGAATCGTTACATAATTTAAATTTTAATAAAAATATATGATTGACGCAATGCTGTCATATAATATACGGGGATTACAGTTTTTTATTTTAAATATATATATATATATATATATATATATATATATATATATATATATATATATATATTTAAAATAGACAGGATTTTATCTATATAAAATACATAAAAAATTAATATTATTTAAAGTTGTGAATATTATTTTATATTAAACATAAATGGAGATTACTGGATGTATTTTTTTAAATTCGTGATTTTTTAAAAAAAAATTTTGTTAAAAAGTGTTAAAAAAAATAAACGGATCCGGTGACCATAAAAAGACATGTCAAAGGTCATAATTTACATGCAGAATTAATCTGGATCAATGTATTTCAATGTAGTTTTATGCCCATATGTAACCATCATTTCGTTTCTCCTGTTTAATATGTTAGGTTTATTTAAGTGCTTTACGATAACTAATTTTTCTACAAATTTTTATTAGAATTCAAATTATGTAACGGTCAGTCTCAACCAGCACGGGAAGATTGCGTTATACAAGAAACTCCGTGTCGTGCTATCGATGAGTGATACTTGTGCTATCGGTGATATGTATATTTATTAATATATACTTAATAGCTCTGTTATATTACATCGAGCACTATTTTCTTACCAGCATCTCTCTGTGTGCAATATATATATATATATATATATATATATACTGGCCGAGCCTACTAGCTCGGATTGCCCCACATGAAATCCGGTTTTGTGCCACATCCTACCCCGTGGGGAGGTTGTTAAATATTTCTAGCTGGGATCTGTTACTCAGCACTTAGCTGTTGTCGTCGAACTCTCTGCCTTCGAGTAGAGGAACTCGGACGAGGCTCTGCCGAA